TCAAGCTTGTGGGTGCAAAGACATTCAACACACCAAACTTGCCTATCAAATATTCATGTTGTGCTCTAGGTAATCCTCTTGTCAATATGTCTGCCAGTTGCTCTTTGGAACTCACATGTTCTGTTCTAATCAGTCCTGTTTTTAGCTTTTGTCTAATAAAATGACAATCGATCTCTATGTGCTTGGTTCTCTCGTGAAACACTGGATTGGCTGCTATTTGCAAAGCTGCCTTACTGTCACTGTATGCTACAGCTGGTTATTCAACTTCATTTCCCAATTCTTTCAACAAAGCATCAATCCATACTAGTTCTGAGACTGCATTAACCATACTCTTGTATTCAGCCTCAGCTGAACTCTTTGCTTCTTAGATTTCCATGACAACAATGTATCACCATGTTTAACTAGGAAACCTGACACTGATCTCCTTGTATTTGGCATGCTGCCCAATCAGCATCACAGTACACATTCAACTTGTAGGATCTTTTGCTGCTCAGTAATATCCCAAGTCTTGGCTCCCTCTTGATATATTTCATTACCCTCACAGCTGCTTCCCATTGTGATCTCTTGGGTTGGTGTAGAAATTGACTGAGTGTCTGAACAGAGTAAGCTATGTCTGTCCTGGTCATAGTCAAATATAACATCTTCCCTACCAGCCTTTGATACTGCTCTCTGTCTTCAAATTGCTCATCATCTAATTCTCCAGTGGGACAATCCAATTCTTGGATTGTTAGTTTGGTGTTGGCTTCAAGAGGAGTCCAAGTTGGTTTAGCATTTCTTAGACCCAAATCTAAAATAATTTCCAAAGCATATTTTCTTTGATTCATCAAAATGCCTTTTGCTGATCTACTGAATTCCATTCCCAAAAAGAATTTCAATTCTCCAAGATCCTTTTTCTAAAAAGCCTTGTGTAGAATGGCTTTTGTGTCCTCTATAAGTCCCAAATTGCTTCATGTCACCAACATATCATCTACATAGACAAGAATCACTTCCATGTCTGATCGTTTCCTTTTAATGAATAAGAAATGATCTAAGCTAATTTGAACAAAACCAGATTCCAATAATGCTTCACTTAGCTTCAAGTTCCATTGCATGCTTGCTTGTTTGAGACCATAGAGGGATTTGACAAGTCTGCATACTAGACTAGACTCCTCCTGACTGGCAAAGCCCTTAGGCAACTGCATATACACCTCATCATGAAGGTCTCCTTGTAAGAAAGCATTGTAGACATCTAATTGATGAACAAACCAATTATGTTGAGCAGCTAAAGATAAGACAGTCCTAACAGAAGCAATTTTAACCACTGGTGATAAAGTCTCATGGAAATCAAGCCCCTCTTTTTGTGTGTAACCTTTTGCCACCAATCGAGCTTTGAACCTCTCAACATCACCATTAGCCTTCAACTTAACTTTATATACCCATTTATAGCCTATAGGAACTTTTCCTTTGGGTAGAGGAACCAAGTCCCATGTATGATTATCCTGGAGAGCCTTTAATTCAGATTGCATGGCCTCTAGCCATTTGACATCTAAGATAGCTTCCTGATATGTAGTTGGTTCAGTAACAGTAGAAAAAATATGTAAGTTATTGATAAGCTGGGGACAAGTTGGTATATGAAATGGAAGCTGCAATGGGGTCTAGAACATGATTAGTTGATGGCTTGGAAACATATTCAGATAGC